GGCCAGCCTGGTCTACAGAGCGAGTTCCAGACAGGCGCAAAGCTACACAGAGAGACCTTGTCTTGAAAAACCAAAATGAATAAATAAATAAATAAATAAATAAATAAATAAATAAATAAATAAATAAATAAATTTGGGACAGTTTGAGCTACATAAGACTCTCTCTCAAGAAGAACAACAACATAACCCCGACATTTTTACCGAAAGCTTTACCGAGCTAGACTGTGAGCTGGGTTTCTGTCGCCAACGACCAAACTCATTTTGTAGGGCTTCCCCCCTCCCCCATTGCTTATTAGCGTGTCCCCTTGCTTTCTGGACAGTAGGGGACACGCCCACGTGCTAACAGATGGTCTGCCTGAGGGGTTGGCAGACAGCGGTCCAGGCTCAATCCTGCCCACAACCTGCCAGCCATTTTTTCTCATCTATGGCTATTTCTACACCATCGCAGCAGAACCAGTCAGTTGCAGCAGGGAGGACTAGCTAGCTAGTGTGACCTGTGCAGGTCTACGGACTCAAAGTTTCAAAAGGCCCATGATTGGTGTAATGATATCCTGTGTTAAATATTTTTTTTAATAATTTTGGATAAGAAGTCCGTCCCATCTTTTATTTTTGTGTGTTGTCCCTTAAATTACATAACGTCTCTTGACAGAAACTGCAGAGCCTAAAATATTACATATTGGGTCTTTACCAGAAGTGGCCCAGGTTCCTGACTGCTGTGACCTTCTATTTTCTTGTGTTTATAGTTACACTCAGTTCTCCATAGCCACATCTGTTGATTCAAGTAGTTGTGGCTTGAAAAATTTGGAAAATTTGCCTGTACTGACCACGTACACATTTTTTCTTGCCATGGTTCCTAAACAATACAATACAGCCCAAATGATATTTACACTAGTTTGTGAAGCTTAAGGAATACAGAGTTGATTTCAAGTAGATTGAGGTTATGGGTATTTTATGTGCAAATGTTATGTACTCTTATATAAGGAAATGGAGTGCTTGTGGTAAACCTCACACCGGATCCTCATAGATGACTGAGACCCGATTACATTTAATTAACGTGCTGAGTGAGCCGGGGATATGCTCAAAATATAAATACTTGAACCCGAATGCAGAGATTCTGGGTCGTTGGAGGTCTAATGTAACACAAATATCTTCTTCTTAAAAAGCCTAACATTATGTCAGGCATGGTGACTAAGGCCTTTAATTCCCAGCACTCTGGAGGCAGAGGCAGGCAGATCTCTGAGTTCGAGGCCAGCCTGGGCTACAGAATGAGTTCCAGGACAGCCAGGGCTACACAGAGAAACCCTGTTTAAAACAAAACAAAACCCACCCCCACAAAAAACCAGAACTGAAAGCAAACAAACAAACAAACAAAACAACAAAAACCCAATGTTGGTCTTGATACGACTGCTCCCTTGGTCACACCTACACACCTCCACACCTAGAGGAAAACTGGTCCCCATTATCTCCTATTTACACCATCCCATTAGAGTCTGCCTGCTTTCCTCCACACTAACCCTTCCCTTCTCCAGCCCATGTTTTAAATTGATGGCCAGGTTAATCACCTCCAAACGCTGCTTTTGAATTCTTAATCCCCAGCTCAAGATCTTTTTAATAATTACCCGATTCCCACAGACGAGAGCCCCAACTTGTCTGTCTGACATTGCCAGGCCACCCACGCTGGCTGCCACGAAATCCCCGACTAAACGCTTTCTTGTCCCGCTCCAGTGCAAAAGCGGCGAACGGCAGGGTCACCGGCAAACTTGTTTCCTCCTGCGAGGGTTGCGGCTCCCTAGCTGGGTAGCCGTTTGTGAAGTTAGACTCTTCATCTTTAAAATGGAGCCGATTGCTGGATGGTCATGGCGGCGGCTCACACCTTTAATCCCAGCACTTGGAAGGCGGAGGCAGGCAGATCTCTGAGTTCGAGACCAGCCTGGTCTATGGAGTCACTTCCAGGGTGGCCAGGGCCACACAGAGAAACCCTGTCTCAAAACAAAACAAAACAAAACCCTGATATAACACAGAGAAGGGCATACCTCTGCTGTGTGTCTCTCCCAACATATGCTAGTTCTAGCCACAGGGAAACAGGCGAAACCGAAGTATTATGTAAATGTCAAGGTCAGAAAAAGCAGCAGACACCGAGGGACACACAGGAGAAGACTAAGGGGTTACGACAAACGCAGTGTGAGATCCTGGGTTGGACAGAAGTACGTCATTAGAAAACTGAAATCTGGAAGGCCTGCTGTGTAGTTAGTGAGGATGCGTCGATTTTAAGTTCTTGTCTTTGATGAGTGTACCCTGTTGTGTGCCTTAGGGGAAGCAAGGTGAGGGTTATAAGGATGTTAGTATTTTTGGTGATGTGCATAAGTCTAAAATTAGTTCAGAAGAAAAGGTTCAATTGAAATAATTATGTCTACATTACGAGAGAAATGATAAAGTAATAGCTAGACTCCTAGGACATTTACTGGGTACTAGATTCAGGGAGTTTGATTCCATGCAGTTATTGCAGCAAGATTGATGACGTAGGCGATGATATAGGTGATGAATAAATAGGTAATGCTTCCTCACATACAGCATGTCACACTTGGTAAGAGTCCACTAATTCCAACCAACTTAAGTTTTTATTATTACTATCCTGCCTTGACCTATTTTCTGTCGCTATAATGGAACGCCAGAAGCCCCGAGACTGTTGCTCAGTGACAGAACGTGCTCGGCAAATGGCTTCTGGAAGACACGAGCCAGGCAAGGCATAGCACACTTGCTTGTAAACACTTCCAGTTCCTGGCGTCTCTGGGAGGACTCTTGGGCCCCCTTGGCCATCTTGCCCTTCAGGAATTCCTTTTGTCTGTGCTGTTCTCTCATTCACGGTTAGTTCTGTACAACAGACTATTGTTCATTTTATCTGTCTTGCCACCCCAGCTAGGAACAAGCTCCTTGAAGCTGAGAATAAGATTCCACAGACGTTTGGATATCTCGGTGCAAAGCACCGAGACTTTGGCTATGGCCCACTTCTTGTACTTGCCTCACACATCCCACAGGACTCGTGGAAATAATCCTGGCTAACTTACCATTCCCTTCACCAAGAACTCCTCAGGTGCCTCCTTGTCCTTGAGAACTTATGTTCATATTGCTTGGGACTGGTTCTCTGCCCTTACCAGAGGTGGAGACGTTCATCTCTGGTATGTTAGGAAATATTAGCAGCTGGCTTCTTGGATGATTTCCTGGAAAAGCACAGATTGCTGCGATCTGACTCAGAGTGAAATTCAGCAAATTATAATATTTCGGTTAAAAACTTTGCAATGTACGTATCACAATGAAACTCGTTGTTTTGTAGAATTTAGAAGAAGCAAATGGGTATACATGGATAGAAAAGAAGAAAAAGAAATACAAAACAAGAAAATTACCATCCTGTTTTCAAAAGCACGCAGTTCAGGAGTATTAAATATAATTACATTGTTGTGAAACAGATCACAGATATGCATTTTTTTTTCTCTAACCTCAAAAAACAATTTAGGAACAGTGAGATGGCTCAGGCATCAAAGGGCTGGCTTTGCAAGCCTGATGATCTGGGTTCGATCCCCGAAACCCACATACGCCATACCTCCCCCATCAATACAATGTAAGAGGACAAAGAATGAAACACTCAACAGCACATTAATGAAAGGCTTAAACTGACATTGACCTACAGAGGTTTACAGACATCCGAGAACTATTCCAAGAGATAACTCAGCATCCTTAGCCATTATGCATGTCAGAGTTGATGCAGTAGCGAGGATGCCCGTTAGACTGACTTCAGAATACTGGCAAGAACACGCACAGAGGCTGTCCTCTGACCGAAGCATGTGTCCCCCGGCACGTGCACAACCGCACATACACTGCGTCTCCCCCACTAATACAAGAAGACAAAGAATATATGTGTAAAGGTGGTTACGATGGTGGATTCTCTTGGGGTGGCGTTAATCTTTTTATATCTCATTAGTACATATTAACTATACAAAATAAGTGGTTTCAGTGTGGCGTTTATATTTTGAGACTTTTAACCATGACTATATATTACACGTGTGTGTATATTATGTGTGTGTATTATATATGTGTATACACACACACACACACACACACACACACACACATATATATAATTTGTATGTGTACACATGGGTGTATATCTGCTGAATTTTACTTTAGGAGCCAGATTGCCACGTGTGTTTTTCTCAGGACACCATCTAACACTATGCTGGCATGATATTCAGTTGAAACGGCCTTGCTTATCAAGCAGTCCCTGTAGTCGTTAACTGGCAGACGTCTTATAAGAGACTTAGAACAATTGCTTGGTACCAGGGCAATGCTCGGGACTTGGCTGTGGTACTTCTGTTACTGCGGACACCTTTGTCCTCATCCCCTGTGGGTAGAATTCCTTCTACTTCCGGTGATGAGCTTCTCGCCAGATGAGGGCAAACATGCTTCCATGAGATGTGTACGGTCCCCACCCGGACACCCAGTGCCGACGTTAACCTCCTCTCGGGCATTTCCTGTTTCCCCCTGGTTTGACTTGTGCAGAAAGCAGGCTCAAAAAGGACTTGTTCCTCCCTGAAGACCAACCCTCCCCACAGACTTGCTGGTGGCACCGCCAAGCCCTCCCCTTCCCGCAGGTTTCTTGTTTGGTGATTTCAAGACAGGTGCGATGGGCTTAGCCACTTCTCGACTGCAGCAGAATGAAGGGGAAGAGAACACAAGGCGTCCCGTGCCGGTGCCCTGGCTTCATCGCCGAGAAGGTGGTCAGAGACTGGACTGAGCGGGTCCGGTCTTGACGGAAGTGTGAAACTCAAGTATGATTTATTTGAACCGAGGGAGCGAGAGACTGTTGCTTCATGTTTTATTGTGCAGTCATCATGCCAGCCACTGTGACCTTTAAGCCAGCAAACAGACAGATATTTTATTTTATGTGCATGGGTATTTTTTCCCCCTGCATATACATATGTGCGTCACATGTGTGCTTGGTTGCTGCCGAGGCCCGAAGAGGGTGTCAGGAACCAGAGTTACAGATGGCTATGAGCATCCACATAGGTGCTGGGGATTCAACCTGGGTCCTCTAGACGAGCAGCCAGTGCGTGCTCTTAACTTCTGAGCCATCTCTCTGGCTGGGTGTTTTCTCTGGATCATCAAATGAGCGATGTGTTAGACCACAACTAAGAATAAAAAAACCCCACACTATCTGGAACCTTCTATGAAGTTTTAACACTGTAGCTGGGACGACACCATGCAGACACACAAAACAAGGGAATAATAGTACGGACTAGAATTAACAAGCTGCGTGCTGCGACGTGGACTTCATGAAAGAGGTGAGTTGGAGACGAGGTGATGAGAAACGGAAGTGCTGAAAGTCTTCTCCATGGCTTTAGCGCGGCACTTCTCAACCTGTGGGTCGCGACCCCCTCAGACCCTTCCGTAGGGGTCACCGAAGACTATCGGGAAAACCGGGATATTTACATCATGGTCCCCAACAGTAGCCACATTACAGTTACAAAGTAGCAACAAAACTAATTTTACGGTTGGGGGGGGTCGTCACCACAGGGGGAACTGTGTTAGAGGGTCGCAGCACTAGGAAGGTCCAGAAGCGCTGCTTTAATGTTCTGCTACGCGGGGCTCCTGAAGTTCACCCTGAGTACCGACTGTGATTTAATTAGCATCCTGCTCCTCCAGCACCCAAGCTGAGCCGGACACAGTCAGCGGCAGTGTGGTGAGTATTTATAATGGCATTCAATGAACTGTGGGCAGATGCGAGATTGATCAGTGTGACAGATAGCTGGGGGAGGGAAGGAGACTTCTCTTCAGCATTTAAAAAGGCCCATTCATGAGCGCTCCGTGGCAAGCTGCTGTGGAAACTTCTGAACATTTTTTTTTGGTTTGTTTTCATAAATGATGGGAATTCTGTCTGACGCCTAGGGAGATGGGAAGCGGGGGTTGTTGAGAAGAAACTTCAAAGGGCAAGTGAGTTCCTCTTTTTGATAATTTGCCTCAAAGTTGCTTTCTTAAAATAAAGGAGGAAGGAAGGAAGGAAGGGAGGGAGGGAGGGAGGAAGGAAGGAAGGAAGGAAGGAAGGAAGAGAAAGAAAGAAAGAAAGAAAGAAAGAAAGAAAGAAAGAAAGAAAGAAAGAAAGAAAGAAAGAAAGAGGAAAGGAAGGAAGGAAGAAAAGAAGAAAAGTAAGAAAGAGGAAAGGAAAGGAAGGAAGGAAGGATGGAATGAAGGAAGGAAGGAAGAAAAGAAAGAAAGAGGAAAGGAAAGGAAGGAAGGAAGGAAGGAAGGAAGGAAGGAGAAAAGAAAGAAAGAGGAAAGGAAAGGAAGGAAGGAAGGAAGGGGAAGAGTGGGGAAGAAAGGGAAGAAAAAGGAAGAAACGGAGACCAATGAAAAGTATGTAAGACTTTTGAAGCTCACAGGCCCCATATTCCTACAACCCAAAGCCTAAAGTTCTGAGGCAAGTTCAGAATTCGTGGCCAGGCTTTGCTTTTACCATCTCTTGGTAATATATGAGTGAAATTAACACTTGTTAAAAACAGTTGAGTAGCAATGAATCAGAGCCCATGTTTTAATTTCTTTGTCTTTCTATAATCTAAAAATGTATGCATGTGTTAGTACAAGTGTAACATAGTTTGGTCACCCTGACAAAAGCATGCCAAGCCCTTTAAAAATGAAACACAGAGTTACCATACGATCCAACAGTTCCTTAGAATTGAAATCAGGGACTGGAATGGATGTTCATACACCAGCGTTCCCAGAAATCATATTCACAACAGGCAAAAGGTAAGAGCTACTCAACTGTGGCAGATGAATGAATATACAGAAGGGTCTTCATATGCATTGGGATATTATTCAGGCTTAAGAAATGAGATTCTGAGCCGGGCGTGGTGGCGCACGCCTTTAATCCCAGCACTCGGGAGGCAGAGGCAGGCGGATCTTTGTGAGTTCGAGGCCAGCCTGGGCTACCAAGTG